GAACGCCACGGAGGGTTGTTTCAAGTTCTCTTCCTCAAGGTTCTTTCCGAAGTAGGTCCCGAGTCGGAGGAGGAGTGGAAAGAGTGCGTTACGCAGACTCTGTGCGCCAAAAATAGCATGTTTAACGTTGGCGGCGTTAGTCCATGTCAATTTGTTTTCGGTCGCAATCCGCGCATTCCGGCAGATCTGCTTCAGGAACATCCCAATCCCATTGCTTCCGACGCAACTCAAGCCGAGCCTGCATTCGAAAGACAAAGTCGTGTTCGTTTAGCAGCTCGGCAGGCTATGATTGCAAGTCAAGACTGCAAAGCACTTCGTGAAGCATTGCGTGCAAGGCCACGCTTGCGCAAAGACTTTGAATCTGGTCAGTGGGTAGCGTATTGGCGCACACAGAAGTCAATAAAGGGGCAAGTTGTTCGTGCATGTCGGTGGTATGGCCCTGCCTTGGTTCTAGGAAAGGTTGGTCGCAACCTGATCGTTGCACATCGGCGTTCGCTCTTGCGGTGTGCTCCAGAACAGCTACGCCCAGCAACTGACGAGGAATGTCCAAGGACAGTTGAGTCCGACCCAGAGGCTCAGGAGCTCCTGGGCATGAAGCGGCTGCTTGATCAAGGGAAAATCCCACAAAGTCAGCTCACGGACATTACTAGTCAGGAGTTTCCACCAACCCCCGAAGAGTGCAGCACACCGTTGCTTGATCAAGTGGATGCCAGCATGGACCGGACTGCAGGTCTCACCGCAGCACAGGTGTTAGAACAGGAGTCTACTGCGTCAACCGCAGGTCAGATGACCTCCGCTAATCCTTATCCCCCAGTAGCAGCCCAACAGCACGAACTAGCTCCAGCTTCTGCCCCTACCTTTGGTCCAGTTCGCACCCGCCTGCGGCAGAAGACTGCCGAACCACTGCTCGTTAGGCCCACGCAGGTGCAAGCAGAGGATTTGTCTGACATGCTGCGCGAGCTTCCATTGAGTTCGGATGCAGCAGTGCCGTCTGCAGGCTTGGACTCCGAGTCACCTAGGCCCTCTAGTCCTAGAGAGCCTGCTTTCAAGCGCATGGCCAGCTCCCCTCCGGATGCCCTGAGAGCCATGTCCAGGCAGGAGTCTGCGCCTGCTGAGGCTCTGTTCTGTCAGACTGCAATGAGTGCGTACCGCGAGCAAGTGCCACATGCCACAGAAATCGAGGTTCTCCTAGCAGGTTTCCTACAGAAACAGATGCAGAAAGAAATCCCTGTGACAGGCAACCCCGAAGACCTTCAGGAGCAGGTAGAAGAGGCAAAAGCTACTGAGTGGTATACCATGACCTCAAAGCCCGCAGTAAAGGTGTGGAGTGGGGCTGATGCTACACGCATCCGCCGTAATCATCCAGACCGGTTTGTAGGGAGCAGGTTCGTGGTCACTAGAAAGGTAGATGAGGATGGTGAGCGCGTCAAGGCAAGATGGTGCCTTCAGGGGCACTTGGATCCAGATGTTATGGACAAGGTGTCTAGTGGCGCGTGCCATTCGCCAACAATGTCTCAACTCTCCCGCTCTCTGTTGCTGCAAATCCTCGTGTCGAAGCGCTGGCGTATGTGCCTCGGGGACATTAAGGGTGCTTTTTTAGAGGCAGGTCCCTTAAAGGAGAGGTTTAGGCCCCTTTACGCCACGCAACCCAAGGGCGGAATCCCCGGCCTTGCGGAGAGCGATGTGATAGAGGTGACAGGCAACGTTTATGGGTTGAACGACGCCCCGTTCAGTTGGTGGGAGGCATTCGACAAAGAAGCGCGCAGGTTAGGTTTTAGCCGATCACAGTTTGATAACTGCGTGTATTACTTTAGGTGCCCAAAGACCAAAGAACTCACAGGCGTCCTAGGCGCGCACGTAGACGACAGCATCACAGGCGGCGAAGGTGAGGCCTACGAAGAAGCCATTCGTCAGTTGAAAGCCCGCTTCCCTTATCGTAAGTGGCGTGTCGGTGCTGGGGAATTCTGTGGAGTAGTCTACAATCAGGACCCTGTCACCTTTGAGATTTCCTATCAGCAGAGAGAGTACACCCAGCATTTGCGACCTATCTCTTTGTCCAAGGATAGGGCTGCTCAGAAGGATTCTCCCGTCACTGCTCGCGAGCTTGCCTCTCTGCGTGCACTGAACGGTGCTGCCAGTTGGCTCGCTAGCCAGAGCCGGCCTGACATTGCGGTGCAGGTTTCGATGTCCCAGCAGTGTTTCCCCAACCCGCAAGTCAAGGATCTTCTGTATGCAAATCAGATGGTTCATAGGGCGAGGCAGTTTCAAGATGTTGAGATTAGGGTTCGTAGCGTGAATCTTCAGAAGCTCTGCATCTGCATGCACAGTGACGCCGCATGGGCAAACGCCAAGCGAGAACGCACACAAGGAGGTTACACACTAGCGTTTTCCGAGACAGACCTCCTTGAGAATCGCCCTTCCGTGTGGAGCCCCTTTCATTGGAAGTCCTACAGGCTCCAGAGAGTAGTTCCGTCAACTCTCGGAGGCGAAGCTCAGGCGTTCTCGACAGCTTCTGCCATCGCGGAATGGATGGCACTCCAGGTAGCCGAAGCGGTATCAGGCACTGTAGATCTTAGGAACAGCGAGAAGTATTTCAAGCAGACTCCGATTGTTGGTGTGACAGACTGTAAAAGCCTTTACGACCACGTCACCAGCCTCTCATCTGTCACAGGGGTTCAGGACAAAAGGGTTAGTGTAGATATTGCCATAATCAAGCAAAGCATGGAGAGAGCGAATCTCCAAATCAGATGGTGTCCCACGGAGTTGATGGTATGTGACGCCCTCACTAAAGACAAAGCTGATCCCGCGGATCTTCTCCGTGCAGTCCTCGAGCTTGGGACGTACCAGCTTTCAAGTGAAGCTTCCGTCTTGAAAGCAAAAAAGGCCCAGCGCGAGAGACTCAAGTGCCGACCTCTGCCACCAAGTGGCCCCAGAGGCTTAGGACCAGGGTACTAGGTAGTCCTGGCTGGTTAATGCTGTAGCTCCCCTGGGGTTATAGGGTTGCTGTTAGGACCTGACGTCTGTGTATAGTCTTTCCTCGTGCGCATGCCCTGCCAGAGAGTGTTGCTATGTGTTTGGGTCGCCCAGGTTCATCCTGTGCGTGTGGGTGCCGACAGTGTCCCATCAGGTGCAGTGTCGAGCCAGCAACTCCCTCTAGTGTTTCTTGCCTGTCGTTCCCTTTTTCCGGCCATGGCGGCACGTTCGAGCGCAGATGCAGCGAAGTATGCCGAGTTTCGTGCTTGGCTGAAGCGTCTTGCCGATGCCAACCTCATCA